GCAGTAGACATGGGACATGGACATGACATAAAATAACCGTGAACTGTGATTTATCATTCCATTTTTTAAACCCCCGACGCAAAAATGACGGGGTGTTATAAGTTTGTCGTGTCTGTGTGTGTGTCTGTCAGTGGCATCGTAGCTTTTTTTATGTTTGAAAGGTGAATTTTTCGGAAGTGTTAGCTAGCTATGTTTGATGAAAATCGGTACAAGATGGCCGCCGACACAAAATGGCGGATTACAATATGGGTATCCAATGAAAGGGCTTAACTAGTAGAATACTATACACTATGACAAATTTTAAATCCAAGATGTGTGTCGAAGGTTTTGTAATTTTCAATTTATAGTGGCGTACGTAGGTTGGGGTTGCTAGGTAGGTAGGTTAGACGGTGAGGGAACATAGGGGTTCCCACACAGGGGGGGGGTCGTCTACCCGCCGTAGATGGCCCGAAGTAAGTCGGGGCACCAGGGATTTCCTTTCTAGGGTACACCTGATTCCCCGACTACTGGTACCTGAGACGGCGTGCGGTTTTTGTCGGTTCGAGTCCGACATTGCCACCGGTAAGTGGTATCCGAGGGGATTTCCGCACATAAAAAAAAACAAAAAAAAGGTAGGTTAAACGCTATTTAACAGTAAATCTAGTTTTTTTTTGTTATTACGTAGAGAATGGTAGCTGAAAATATTAAAATGATTACTATATAATAAAATAATTACTAGATTTACTGTTAAAGAGGAAAAATAGGGTCGTTATGCATCGTCTGAATACATCTTATTAGCAACAACGCGTGAGTGAGTAGCAACCCTAACCTACGTACTAAAAAATCTATGATTCGCCTCTTTCTGCTCTTTCTGGGCACGTGTGTTGTTATAATTATAAGAAAATCTGTTCATATTTGCTTATAGTTCAAGTAATATACACCAAGTTCAATATTCTAGAAATAATGTCGTAAAAGTACACGTAAGCCTACTCCGTGGCAATCTAGTTACCCAATAATGCAAATCAGAGAACAAGGTGTCAATTTTAAATTAGTTATAGAGGTATCAAGTTAATCTTATAAGATCAGTTACGTATCACAATAGAAAGTATGTTATCTTATATTGACAGAAACAATAGTATTGACTGTTTAATTATGTTCAACGGTTATTTTGTCAGCCATTATAATTGTGATGCCAGCAGATAAAATATCCAATGTCTAGTAATCGGGTTTTTAGTAATGTTGCCAATGCATTAGTAAATAAAAAAAGCTTGACTAAATGCAATTGAACTCGAGTGAAGAGATTGCCTACGATAAATTTCTGGCAGTTGTTACTCACAATTTTTAGAGATTTAGTATGTTATTCCAAGATCATAGACTTTCCTGTAAAATATGTAAATAATGTCTGTTATTTTTTTTTTCTTGGAACATTCAAAGATAAGAACTATTAAATTGTAATGTAATGTAATTCCTAATGTCAAGAAAATTATATCAAAAGAAGTAGTTTTATATATTGTGTAACCTACATATCTGTAGCGTATATAGGACTCGTTTGTGACCGCTATCGGGGTTAAATGCCCTAAGGGGGTGAAATAGTGTAACAAAGTTTAGGATGTGTTAAAATAACTTTATATATATAAGAGACCCTAACTACAAGTTGTCCCTTTAATATTTAATTATCTATTCTTCTTCTCTCTTACAGTCTCATTTTAGTTTTTCCATCCAAAACGAAGTCTCGTATCCAAGCTGCTTTACTCCATCAGTTTTAAGTACCCCAATTTACCACATTCCTTTATTCCGTGTGAAAACGATAACACACCCCAAGCATGGTAACTGTAATTCTTTTCTAGGTATCATTCATTTTCATTTACCTATTATAATGCGAATGAAAAAATAAGCTATCGGCAATGTTTTTAGGCGTAAAAAAAAATCGTTCAAAAAAACCAAATCAATAATGGTACATTTGCTTTTTTTTTAATTAGTTTACAGATGGAGGTTCCCTTTGCTTGTCAAAAAAACAGCCATCAAACCCTACTTATATTTACCGCCAAGGTTAAGCAAATCTAATTATGTTGTTTGAAATAGTAATACACTCTCTCACTCTCTCTCTAATGGGAGGGTGGACTAATGTACAGTCAGCGGCATAAACTCTCATCGCAAATATACAATGATTTTTATGACCCTACTGACAATAGGTAATGTTTGTTTCATGTTGCTCTGGCCCAGTTCGCACGGTTGCCAAACACATTATAATGTGGGCAAGTCTCTGATTCTGCAATTTTAACGAACATGAGCTAATATTTTATCTCGATAACCTTTGCTACAAGAGATAATGAGTATTTTTTAGATAGTTCTTGCTATGTTGGCTAAGCTGGTTAGCCAATGTTAGTACTAAGACTGATTAGTCGGATTGTTTAATGTAAATAGTGATTACTTTGAGAAATATTTTATGTCCCTGATTTTTCCTTTGTGTGTTATGAAATAAGAAGTTATTGAATAAAATGAAACGCTAATATTTAAATTTCCTCGAAGTTTATATATATGATATTTTATGGTGTAGGGGGCACATCATTAGACGGGTTTGGACGGGACAATGGACAGCTACAAGTACCGAATCATGGCTCTCCCACTTCAAAATCCTTTTTTCAAGGTCACTTACCCTGATATAAATAGCGAATAAAAAATCTTAGTCAACTAAAGAACGAAAAATCCTGTCTGACACAAGTTAGTTGAAACACTTGTCAAAATAAATTCATTTTAACATCAGAAATATACGGATACGGTTAGTATCTTTAGTAGTTAGTATATATATAGACTTAATGCATAGTTGTATGTGTGTGTGTTTTTATTTCATTTATGAAAACGTTCAATCTTTTGAACGTCTTCAGGTTTTAATATTTTTATTTAATTTTCAAAACGATTTAAGGCTCAAACTATTATATTTAAGAAAGTATAAAAGTTTCAAAGGCGACACATCAGGCCAAACTATTGATGTCTCAACTTTTAAATTCTTTACAGAACCGTACAGCGCTGCGGCTTTTTATACGCGATCGAACTTTGCCCAAAGTTTATATTAAATTTCTTGGTAAAGTTTCTCCAAAGAAAGCCAGAGGCATGAGGGGGCAGTGATGCATGAGGGTGTATGTCACTCACGCTCTTGCGAACATGCTGTTTAGGATTACGGGCGTATACATCTGTATAGTTGCAACTGGTTACAGATTTAGATAAGAAAAAAATGGACCATGTTTCTATCAAATAGGCAAGTTATTACTACGTATAGTATGGTAATCTTTTGGACGATTTGAAACGCTTTGTGTCTTGAAGTCCCTAGTAAGTCCTTTATGTAGTTGGGTCATAAACAAATATTTTTACAAAAAAAACGACTTCAAAAAATACTATTCCAAAACAAATAGATATGCACTAAAAAGTAAAAAAATAAATGCATATTCTTCTACAACTTAATAATCAACTTACTTTTTCTACTCATCAATATGTAGGTACGATCTATGTGTTTACCACGCAAGAAGGTAGGTAGGTACCTACCCACTTCAAATCTAACTCAACATATAGGTACCTATGAATAACAAACAAACTCAGTAAAATGAAGTGAAAAATATTAGACTACTTAAAAGTCAATCAAATTATTACGATAATATAATGTAGTTACAATTATTGTTATTTTTGGAGTCGGTGTCACTATGACTTCAGACTATATACCAAGTACTCCCCATGTGTATTTCTGTATGCCCGTCGGAACGTGACAAGCTCCAAAGGAATAGATTTTTATGTGGTTTTCCACAATATATAAGATTGATTCATCATAAAGTGTGTGATTATGAGATTTAAGTCGAAACCATGTTCAGTACATTATCTGGTTTAAAACTTAGGCTTTTCTTAAGAATTCCAATCGGTTTTCAGATAAAATTTCTACAATATGTTTTTGTTTTAATCATGTTGTATACAACAAGCTGATATAACAGTTCAAAATTTCTCTCTACTCTCTACCCGAAAGAAGCCGGAGCTGATCGCTATTACTACATTAAATGAGACTGGTGATGATAATTCATTGTTACAGAAATCAAGGACTTCAAAAGCAAATGGGTTCCATTTTATTTAATTACGCCTCACTAAAATAATGTTAACTTGCTCTGTTCTTCGGCGAATCAACAAAAGAAGAAATGTAGGCCTTGTATTATATAGCCTACAAATAAAGTTTTATTGTGTCATTACTATTTGTTTCTATTGTTTTTTTTTTTTTATAAAGGCTATTAATAAAATCAGTATAAAAAGTAGAACTGTTATACTTTATCTATCTAGTTAACAGCTATGACTGCACGAATGGCGTAGTGGTTTAAGCGGTCACCACGCCGCTTCCTACTACGCCGAGTGTTGTGGGTTCAAACCCCACATGGGACGACACTTTGTGTGATCCACAAATTGTTGTTCTGAGTCTGGGTGTTCTTTGTGTCCGTTTCATGTATGTTTGTAAAGTCCCCCGCGAAACAGGCAATATTCCTTATGCGGGAGTTGTCTTTTTTTTAATACAATGATAAAGAAACATTGAGCCTTATACCTATTAAAGTAAAGTTGAAATCAGAAATATTATCCAATGTGTAAACCGTGAGCTTAATTCAGTGATAAAATATCGAGCTATTATTTGTCCACTGTCAATTAGCACGTAATACGCATTGCAATTACGCGCTGGACACAAACCGCACTGTTTTTGGACTTTTATTTATTTAACACACATTTGGTTTAATTTCAATTTATTTTGGTAGTTTTCTCTCATTTACTTTGATGACTTGATTTTTAATGTACACACGTACATTCATATATTATATCCGAAGTCATAGGCAGAGGTTTAATAAATTTCCAAATTTTTCCAATTGTAATTTTGGTCCCCCTTGCGTAGTACCTCTATTATAAGTGGGACCAAGTAAGTCTATTGGCGTCAATTGGGCACTCGTGGGATTCTATGGCAAACTTGAAAGTTTTTCGAAATGAGTGGCAGATAAAACGGAAGATTACTTATAATAGTAGTTATTATTAGAACTTACTTCTGCCGCAGACTGTTGGTTGAGTTCCTGCTGGAGATTTTCAGCATACTGAATCCCAGGAGTGGTATTTGGCGATTCTGTAAATAACCATATGATAATTAAATGTCTACTAGTAATCCTAAGTCAGTGTTGAAGAGACTTGTAATAAGAAATAGAACAAGTCCTTTTACTAAGAATGTAGACCCTTCTTATAGAGATGAAGAGACTCCGAATACCAGCAAATGTATATTGAATTCATTAATTTTAATTCATGTTATATAATATGTCTCAGATTGACGCGACAGGTCCATTAATACTTGATACAAGACCCCTGTTGGGCTTACTTGAATTTCCCGTGAGTACAGTCAGCATTTATCAACCATGAATAAATCTTATTTCAATTTTTATTCTTAAATTAAAATATGTAAACTACTCTCAGAATATTATCTGTTCAATTTAAAATTATTTTCTGAATCAAAACAAAATGTTACTGCTACAAATTTTACATGTTCCATGTGTTGATTGAATGGGATTGTTTGCGAGCGGACTCCATAAATACTATTATTAGGATTCGAAATTATTCTTAATAATATATTCACGCCATTTAAACAGACTTTAAATATTAGAGATGTTAAATAAAACTGTTTGAGAACAATTGCCACGTTCGAAAACGAGTTTTAACCTTAGTCGCACGTAGTTATTATTATTATATTAATGGTGTGTTTCTATCTTAAAGTGAAAGCCTAAATGTGTTTTCTTAATATTATGCTGGTATGTTACATCATAAAGTTGTTTACAATAAAAATTATTGACATTAAATCATGTCTTGGCTAACCAATACGAAGATTATATGTGTGAGAGCCGCGTGTTTATTTTGCCAGATCCACAATCAAACGACTGTATATCTGGCAAAATACCACAGTACAGGCTCTGCTAATTTGGGAATTAGCAGAGACTGTATTGTGGTAACCAAACTGCTGACAAACATTCTATTCGATACATGATAAACGAATGACACCCTGATACAGATTGTACTTCTCACATAATTATTTGTTCTCATTTTAAATTGAACCCATAACCTCTGGCTAACAGCCATCATCACTAACAACTGAACCAACAGGCATGTGTATTGCTGCGTGAGTTAAATGCATAGCTTAGATATTCGTTACAAAATAAACTTGAAGGTAGGCTTTGTGTAAATTCGGCGAGGGGCTTAGCATCGGGGGTCGTCCTCCTCACCTCATGTCTCGACTGCGATCAACTCACGCAATTTAATATAGTCCACAAAATAAATTATTCATCAACAACCTTTAATAGTCTACTGCTGGACATAGGCCTCTCCTTGAAAAGGAGGTTTTGGCCTACTAATGAATAATACGAATAGGGTTTGTGTCAAGTTTTCCTTCTCTTTACAGTGATGTCCTGCGTAGTTTGCTATTTAGTCGGCTCTTACAACATTTAAGGGATGAATAGGAGTAGTGACACTCCGTATTCGTAATCCGTCACCACACGGAAAAATTAAATAAATTGTTATATCATCTAAAATATAAAACTCATTTAATGGAATTCGATATTAGGCACATCAAATTTTATTCGAGACAAAGATAGGATTTTTTTTTTAATATCGCCATCTATAGTTGCTATTCAAATGTTTTAGATCAGCTTACAGTTAGAAAATCTATTGTCCTAAGGGTGTATGTTAAAATCAATCTTACTTCCATTCGTTGTATATATATATTTTTTTAAAGGCAACTCCCGCATTAGGAATATATCCTGTGAGGCGGGAGACTTTACAAACATACATGAAACGGAAACAAAGAACACCCAGACTCAGAACAACAATTTGTGGATCTCACAAAGTGTCGTCCCATGTGGGGATCGGACTCACAACACTCAGCGTAGTAGTAAGCGGCGTGACGACCGCTTAAACCACTACGCCATCCGTGCAGTCATATATCTAATCATATCTAATTAGATTGATGATGAGGAAGCCCAAGATTCCAAAATGGTTAAAAACTTACCATATTTGTTCAAGAATGTAGTCCTTAGGCCAAAGTTTCCTTCAAGCAGCTCACGTTTCATGGTCTGACCGGACACAGGACTTTTCTCAGTGGTCAATAACGATAGAGCCCCGCCAACTGCTATGAGCAGTAGTAGCAACATCTGGGAAATTAGATTAAAATTAGAACACTATATTCAAATGTTTGATAAAAATCGGTTGTCTGTAAAGTCGGTTTACTGACGATAGTTGAACGTGACAACGTCATAAGAAAATACTGATGGAATGGTTGCATTTTACGAAAACATGTAAATGTATTATTGTATAGCAGCTGTCCACGCGGACGCATCGCTCACTCAAGTAGGAGAGAGACAGATGTCGAACGCTGCCGAACGCGGTGGCCGATTGTGCCTCTTTGTCGCTCGTTGCGCGCTCTCGCTTGCACTTCAAGCCTTAAATGGAACGCCTCAGAGCGAGGTAACGCCGCATGAGTCATGTTTTTTCGTGCGTGCAGCCGGCTCCATCGAATTATAAGACGTTGTCACGTCAAAAATTAAACCATAAGTTTAGGAACATTTATGCCATTAACATACACAAAGTGATATCTTAAAACAAACTTTTTGACCCGCATATTAATAAAAAATGTATCTTGATTTTAAGTTATTAAATTTGGAAACATTTAATTTATAAGGTCCTTTAAAAACTGCATTATGCACTTCACTAATAACTTATGTCAAACTCAAATCACGTAATGATCTTATGAATTGCACACGGCGACACTGTCACTTGTCGGAAACATTGCTTAATCCCTTAACTGCGCATGAGTCTATCCTTATGACACGGTACATTGACTTACATAACAACATACAAGAGCTTGATTCATGGCCCCTTGCATCAATCGCAGTGATATAGTAATAAAATATGTAATAAATTATATTTAGAATGCTATATATACTGCCTCTTATACATATTTATATGTTGAAGAAGTGAAGAAAGCTACAATCAGGGGCAAAGTATAAACGGTGACCTATCATAACACGGAACGTCTAAATAATGAAAGATTAAGTTCTACTGGTTGGCCTCGGCATTCGGCATTATTTAGGTAAGTCAAATTCAAATTACTTTATTGCGAAAATTATAATAGTAATATAATAATAATATATGTATCTCACACATCTCACACACGGCCGTCTGATCCCAAACTAGGCAGAGCCTGTGCTATGGTAACCAGCCTGACAATACAATATTTGTCATGGGTGGGAATCGAACCCACGACCTCCGGTTAAGCAGTCAGTGTCACTAACCACTAGGCCAACAGGACCGTCAAATGGGTAGGTACAATGATTATTGTGATATAATAATGTGGCATAGCTTCTCCATTATCGGCCTCTCGGCATGCAATACTCCATCTACAGCCTTTACTAGTCCACTGCTGGACATAAGCCTCATCTTAGAAAGGAGGTTCTGGCCTACTATACCACGCTGGTCAGACGGGTTGCTATAGGGTTGGTGTCAAGTTTTCCTTCTCTTTGCAGTGCTGTTCAGTTGTCCTGCGTAGCTTACTCCCTTAGTCAGCTCTTACGACACCCACGGGATATATAGGGGTGGTGACACTCAGTATTCTTAATCCGTCACCACACGCAATACTTAACATTTTATAATTACTTGCTTTAGGAATCAAATTTTTGATATAACTCCAATAAATAAAAAAAACATCCAACGTAAGTCTGGAATTAAAACAGTCATACGAGTAGAATACAGTTTAGATAACAGATTATTATTTATGGTGTAATATACGGAATATTTAATAATTTATTTAATTTATTCTTTCTGCAAATACATTGCATAAGGCGGACTTAATGCCACAGACATTTTCCAGACGACCTTTTGGTGATGCAGAGCCGTTTATAGTATGCGTATAATTAAACATCGTATCGGAAAGAATCGGAATTATTTTGAATGACATCTGTTTATAACAGTGGACAATGCATACAAATATTTTATTTCAATAATATATCCTTCATTAAAACCACAAGTTCTCAGATCATTAATCGGATAATAAATATCGTTTGTTGATTGTTAAATGTTCACACAATATGACGACAGAATTCGTTACTGGGGTAAGCATGCAAGTTTCGTTATTAAAGGTTACTAACATTCTTAGTTCTTAGAGCGATTGCATGAAAGAAAGATGAAAAATAAATTTGAAAAAAGCGTTGGGTGCATGTTGTCAATAGTAAAAAGCACCCCATGCTTTTATCAAATTTATTTTTCAGCAGTGTATTGTCATCGGTCCTCGATATATCTACAAAGTTTGAACGAATTCTGACAGTTTAAAGTCAGTCAAAATCACGCCCAAAGGAGCCGGTTACAAACAAACATACAAACATACAAGTGAAGCTAATATAAAGCGTGTAAATACACCCCGGTGTTGGCTAAATACGATTTTTAATAGTACCAGTAAAGAGTTAAACTTGCATTCTACTGACCTTCTTGTTTACACTTTAGTGAGTTTAAAGGTGTTTGTTTTACTAATAATAAACTCATGGTAAAAAGTATTAAATCCCGTTTGGCCAGCTTGGTATAATAGGCCAAAACCTCATTTCTAAGGATCATAGGCCTCCTATGTCCAGCAGTGGACTATTAAAGGCTGATAAAGTGTAAATATCACAAATTTTTATTTTTTTCATCAAATGAAGTTTTAAATAAAGCTGTCCGTTAAATATTTAAGCTTTAAATTTAAAGAAATAATCCTATCGTAATGAAATTGAGATATTTTAGTTGTACATAAAATATCTTAAGTCACTCATCAAGAACATTTAATAGTCCACTGCTGGACATAGCCCTCTCCTTAGAAAGGAGGTTTAAGTCACTAGTTTCAAGTAAATACTTATTAAATAACCTTTTTATAGTCACATACACAAAAGTTTCACAAACAACCCTTTTCTGCCCCCTTAGTGTTAAAATAACGTATATATCCATGATGTGTCTTATAATTAAGTAGTCACACTATATATACCTACTACTTGGTAAAAGCCGAAAGTAAAAAAAAAGGTTATACTTTTAACCTGACAACATTACGTTACCATATAAAGGAATTGCCACAACTAACTATAAAATATATAGTAAAGGAAAACAAAATGAAAACATAAAATAAATTCACTTGTTTTCTAATAAACTACACAAAAAACATTCACGTAAACGTACCGGCAACTTCATATTCGTAAATTTACGCTGCGCGTGCGAATGGCGTACACTTAGAACCAACACTGCGCATGCGCTCCTTTCTTATATGCTCATGCGCAGAATCTGTTATGCAGTGGTCAACTAGTCATAGATATGACTGCAATTAGTATGATTACTAAGATATGTTTATTTTCTTTTTGTTCAAGAGAATGAAATTGTTGACTTTAGTGTGGTGATTTATTCTCTCGGTGTCATAAACTAATGATCATGAGGTATGAAATATGAAAAAATACAAACATTTGATTGTGATGCTTTAAAAGTAAAATATGTAAAAGTTCCTCAGAAAATACCAAAGTTTTTAATAAACAATATGGTAATAAAAAATCCTTTCCCATATTTAATGTAAAGACGGTGCAATTTGTGACATAGCAAAATAACAGATAGACAGAACCTGACAGACAGATTTATCGAGATCTAATCACACAAATATTTGTCCTGGGTGGGAATCGAACCTACGACCTCTGGCTTAGCAGTCAGGGTCACTAACCACTAGACCAACCTAGCCGGTTTTTGGGTGGTAATTTTTATAGCTGACACTCTCTCTCCTTGAGAATATAATCCTGTTTAGAAGGGATAAAGGAAGAAGTTACTAGCAAGTACCTACGTGATACCGTAAGTTTAGGATGCGAAAATGTACCCCGACTGAGAGGGTACTTCAGGGCATGCCTCGAGCGGGGCTAGTTTCCAAAATTGTGGAAGACTTGGAAACTGGTTCTCATCCGAAAGGAGGGGATATATATGTGATGTGTGATGTAAAACATTATACTAGTGGGGAAGCTTCTGAAACTAAAACCCATTTAATTCTACTGCTTTCAGTTTTATTTATGACCATGTAATAAATTTATTTCATAATAATTTTGCTTGCATTAGTGTATTATTAATTAGATAACTTCAATATTAGACTTAAATAATTAACTTTAAAAAAGTATTACTGAGTTGAGAACCGTAAGAAAAAGTACCCTTCTAGAAGCTAAAATAACTTTGCCAAATCCATACTTATAGATGTAAAAGTGAGTTTGTTTGTTACGCTTTTACTCCTTAACTTCTAACCCGATTTTAACGATTCTTTCACCAATAGATAACTATATTATCAACGACAATAAGAGGCTAGTTTTTACACACATACACGCGGTCGGAGCTGCGGTCAAAAGCTAGTTGGTTCATGCAGAAGAGCAGAATTTTAGATAGACGAAAACAAAAATATATATGAAAAGAAGAATAGATGTTCCTCTAATCTCCACTTAAAAAATGATCCTTAATGTAGATACCTACCTACATTAAGGATCATGTTTCCAATCAGTATTCATCAACTGTTTTCCGGAAACTTCAAAACTTTAATTAGTAAAAATCAAAGGATCGAAATTAAAGTCATGAATTTTAATTTCACGGCTTTATTAAGAAAGCGGTGTTTTAAATTAAAATACGGAGTTTTCAGTAGCTTTTCAGCCGTTAGACAGCTAGTTAATTATGTTTTTTTTCGTTTGCTGAGTGAATGACATTACCAGAGGCCCAAACCAGATCCTAGACGATACTGCAGGGGATGGGATACTCAACTAAACAGGCAGCTACTCTCTTATGTTATGTTAGAGGAGGCAGACGAGTAGACCTGATGGAAAGTGACCATCGTCCCCCATCAACGTCTGCAACTCATTAGTCACAAACGTGTTGCCGGATCTTAGTCCATACTGCCATCCATACACCTGCGAATCACTTCGGGTTTAAGGTTTGAAGAGGGAGTAGCGTTCAGCCCCTTGTTCTTGCCGAGGGCAAGTAATTGTGCGATGAGCACAATCATTTGTTGTGGCTTGGAGTTATTTATAATACCTACGTATGTATTCAGTATCTTTATTAGCTTTTTGGATGGATCGTTTTAGATAGATTGGATGGATAGACTGCTGCTTTTAAAAAAAATACATTTTCCTTTAAGCACCTTTTTACCTTTGATTGCAGAGAGGTTAGATTGTAGGTACATTGGTTACTACAACAATCAACGAGTCATGGTAAAATAATAATAATATTTCAGACATCTAACACACAACGCCATCTAGTTTCAAACTAAGCAGAGCTTGTACTATGAAAGCTACATTGACTGATAGAATACTTATATCCTTTTTTTGTAACATATATATTATACATAGAAAACACCCAAACTACGAAACAAATATTTGCAGAGCATACAAATATTTGGTCCGACCCAGGAATCGCACCCGAGAACTCAGAACAGCAGTCGCATACGCTACCACTGAGCCACCGAGGCAGTCAAGTTATATAAGGATATATTACATTATAAGTAAGTTACATTGAAGTTATCGCTTCTATGAAGTTACTAATAATAACAATACTTTCACACATCTCACACACGGCAGTCTGATCCCAAACTAGGTAGGTTTTTTTTTTTTTTAATATTCTACCACATCCACACAACGCCATCTAGTCCTAAACTAAGCAGAGCTTATACTATGGGTACTAGACAGCTGATATAAATTCATATATACTTTTTTTTGTTAATACATATTTATTATACATAGAAACACCCAGACCAAATCAAACATTAAATGTTCATGCACACAAATGTTTGACTTGAGCGGGGATCGAACCCGCGACGCCATCCGGCCGTCTATAGGAATGTGCTATACTAATCGGACTGCTGATGGGTATACTTATATATTTCTAAACACATAAATGAACTGTACTTCCACATTAAATAGACATTTTTGATACTAAAAACTAGTGCATTTAGTGTTGGTTTATAAATTTTTAATGAGACATTTCATGAGTAATATTTAAACGTTCATTACTGTATACGGTTATTATCTTAAAAGATTTTTATCATCATCAATCATCATCAACAGCCTTTAATAGTCCACTGCTGAACATAAACCTCTCTTTAGAAAGGAGGTTTTGGTCTACTATACCACGCTGGCTAGACGGTTTGGTATAGGGTTTGTTTCTAGTTTTCCTTCTCTTTGCAGTGCTGTTGCCTGCGTAGTTCGTAGTTTCGTAGTTCCCTTAGTCGACTCTTACGACACCCACGGGATGAATAGGGGTGGTGACACTCCGTATTCTTAATCCTATAAAAACTTTATTTCCTGGTGTAACCACAAGGAAATATTTTTTTTAAATAGTACAATATTTTCCCAGCTATGTTTATCCATTGTATATATCTAATAAGAAAACAAAGAGCTGTATGAAACTTTGCTATATTTGTGCGATAAAAACTACTTTTGTTAGTATTGTGGTTTGTTATGGCGAGGGAGATAAAACTGCCTATTGCCATAGACTTTTAAAGTAAGTTAATAAAATTTGGGGTCGGTGAGCTTATACAAAAATTGTCGAGGTTGCTTCATTCTAAGAACTCCTTCATCTATGAACTAACTAACTAACCGGACTGAGAAAGGTTACTAAAAGGTTACTTAAAAAAGGACTGGTTACCCGAAGCTTCCCTTGCGTTTTTAGTTTACAGTTCTGTTGTTCATCCTTATTAGCTTTCCTACACATTGTATGAGAAAAAATCTTGATTTTGATTTTGGGGATTTTAAAAATATTTTAAAAGTTATTCTACTATTCGGGAGGAGACTAAATGAAAAAATCAAATATCATAAAAATCCGTCCTGTCTTTTTTAAGTTATAAATGGTGTAACTAACCTGTCTTTGTTTAATTTATACAGATTTGGATTTTGGGAAAAAATCTACGGTAATGAGTTAAGAATACCTTAAGTCTCACCAATTAATACTTATAAGTCTCACCACCCCTATTCATCTCATGGGTGTCGTAAGACTCGACTAAGGGAGCAAACTACGCACGACAGCAGCACTGCAAAGAGAAAGAAAACTTGAAACAAATCCTATACCTACCCTTCTGGACAACGTAGTATAGTATGCCAACACCTCCTTTTTAAAAAGATGCTTATTGCTCAGAAGTGGACTTTTAAAGGCTGTGGATAATGATGATGAAATCCTGTTTGATGCCATTCAGATTTAGGAGAAAATACCTATGGGGTAAAAATTTGGAAATGAAGAATCCTGTTTATTACAATTTATCACAATGTGGGCTCATTGAAGTCGGTGATAAGATAATTATGCCCTCAAAAATTCCCAATGACACTTACAATACATCAAAATATTATTTGTAAATGCAGAGCCCTTTTTGATGTAATGCGTTGCGAAAAAGTAATCCAGAGTACGTAGTAACGACCACAAATTTACAATGATATCGGACAGCTTCTTAGCACATCCTGTCTGTAATCAAAAATGCATTAATTTAAGATAAAAATGATAATTTAAGTTAAATTTGATATTGCATGCACTTGGCATGATGATATCTTGATATCTATCCAGATCATCTGCGAGGTATCTATGAGTCTCGTATTTCAAGCCAATGAACTAAGATTGGACGAGGCAATGATTATGCAATTTAAAAGGTCATGAAAGAAATCATTAGCCTTGCAATGTCCAAATGAAAAGAAAGGAGAATTGCATATAAGATCCACTATATTATGATGTGGTATTGCACCATTTGTGTAAAATAAATAAAAATGTTGAAGGTAATGTTCAAAGCAGGCGATTCAAAGTGGATGCGATCGCGTGCGAACAGAGAATTGAGTGTGAGTTTATTTCACATCGACTCGGTCTTAGCGAGCACGTTTAGCGTTGCGATTGGTTTAGATTTCAGTGCGATTGGCCCGCGCTGAACTCTACACCGATCACAGCTCTGAATGCGATCGAATAAATGTGAAATAAAATAGCACTTCGCGTTTTTATGAACAGTGATGAGTGACTTTTTATGAAACCTAATGTTGCCTGTAATCTATAAGTTAAAAACTATTGGTGATAGAATTTTTAAAATCGGAATAGTGTTTTAGGCTTAAAAGCGTTACACACAAACTCAATATTACATATATAATATTAGTATGGAATGTTTTAGGTTCAGTACTGTTAAAGATGGCGTATTGGGTGTAACATTGGTCAATTTG